ATGACAATACAATTTTGTAAAAATTATGTAAAAATTATGAACTTCACATAAAAAACCCGCAAACGACAATAAAGTCATCAAGATTTTTTATTTTTTAGCTTCAAGATTGGAAATCAAAATTTGAAAAGTTGGAACATTATCTGGAAATAAAAGATGAAACACTCAATAGCCTACAATCAAAACTTGAGGTATATCTTTATTTAAGATTTTAAGGTATTATCTTTATTTGAAGTTATTGTTATTTGTTTTCAAAAATAAAACTTTCTGTTTATTTGCTATATAGATAGCTGAGCAAGATTTAAAAAAGCCATGTTTGTCATGTAAAAATTATGAGATTCAGCTGTGTCGTTTGCAGGAAAGTCTAAAGGTGCTTCTTTTAAAAAATATTTTTTTTCGCTTCTGCTTACCCTACCACCCTGTTGTTTTAAAAACAAATGTTTAAGTTTATATAACTTAAACATTTGTTTTTAAAGAAAAAGAAGAAAAAGCTTTTGTATTTTTTAATATTATTTTTATATTAAAAATAATATTAAAAAATGTTTTTTCAAATTATTTTTAATATAATTTTAATCCATATCTAAAGAAACAAAATTTAGTTAAATTAAATTAGCGTAATAGTTAGTATATAATACATAATAATATGTATTTTATTTAACAATATTTTATTATCAATTGATTAAATATCTATTATTTAAATAGTTGTATATTGAAAATGATTGTTTATTGCATTATTATAATGATAGAAAAAAAAACCCTCTTAATAATAAATAGATCAGGCAAAGTTAAAACAACGATAGACAGATCATAAAAAATTAATCTTAATGGGGACACCCTTTAAACTCTTCCACTTGAAAAATAAACTCTTTAAACTCTTCCACTAAAAATGACATTCGTGAAGTTTTAGCTCAATTGGCAATGCTAACCCAAGCCTCATTGAGGTTTTTTAACCTATAAAACTTTGAAATAAATATTATTTTTTATTTGTAAACTGAAATGGTTCTTAGAAACATAATTTTGGTTGTTCTCTTAAATTTTATTATCTCCATTATTAAGCTGCAACATATAGTTACTGAGACTATTGTATTTTTACATATATACATTCAAAAATGGTTGAATTCTCCTATTATACAAAAATGCAAAATAACTCAAATACTATTGGAGAAGTTTTTATAGAACTAATTGTAATCTTTGTAAATTATTGTTGACAAGGTAACTAAATTGTTGTTGTCAAGGTAACTAAATTACTTAAATTTAAACAGTTTTATTGTTTAAATTTAACTTATTTAATGGATTACTTTAAATTAATTATCTGTTTGTTGTTTGCATTATTGTGTTGTTACATTCCTACTAATAAGGCCTTTAACTAAAAAAGAAAAATGATAATTAGTTTAACTAAATTATTTATGTAAATTCTCTTCGTATTGGGTTTTAATTTGGGAAAAAATAATTATGATTTACATATTTCTCTAAATATGTAAATTTAAAATGTTCTCTAAAAAGGTATATTTTCAATTAGTCTTGTTCATTGAAAATATACCTTCATATATGAGACCTTCATATACAAGACAAAAACCTTCATATATGAGACATGTACAAAATCCTTCATATATGAGACCTGTACAAACCCCTTTATATATGAGACCTGTACAAAAAGCTTGTTTAGTAACGAGCTCATGATTTTTTAAAGTAATTTATTTTAAAAATCAAACCAATTTTTTTGAACGAAAACAAACATTTTTTCAAAAATAAATGCAAGTGTTCCAATTAAGGTGCTGTTCCAATTTCGGCAACTCCCCCCTAAATACTATACAACTTTAATATAAAGAAAGGTATATAAGTTTAAAATTTTTCCAATTATTAAAAACAAATGGCTTTAATAATATCTATACACCAAAAACAGTTTTTTTCAAGGATGGTTTGGGGAGGGGGTTGGTTAAATAAATACAAATAAATTTTGTAAACTGAAATGTTGTAGAAATATTTTGTGTATGTATATATATATATATATATATATATATATATATATATATATATATATATATATATATATATATATATATATATATATATATATATATATATATATATATATATATATATATATATATATATATATATATATATATATATATATATGGCCGAATGCCAACCCTAATTCCGATGGCTGATATATATATATATATATATATATATATATATATATATATATATATATATATATATATATATATATCAGCCCTTGGAATTAGGATAGGCATTCGGCAATGCCGACCTTACAGCTGACTTAAAAGTGTTTGAGGTTAGAAAAAGTGTTTGAGGACTATGTTTTATGATAACCTCTTTGTGTAAAATTTTTTTTGCCAACCACAAACTGACCTCATATTTCCTTATTCCGAGGGTTGATATATATAATAAAATGTGCAAAATTTTTGTATATATATATATTACCACCAAAGTCAAATTAAAAATGAGAAAAATTATATGTAAATTAAATTGTAAAAAAAAAATATCTGCGTTAAACATTAATAAAACTAGATATCCTGCTATTAGGCTTAAAAACAGTAACAAAATGACAAAAATACAGCTGAAATGAAATGTTTTTTTGTTAATATCTCAATAAATTATTTGTTTTGGTAAGTTTAATGAACTCAAAAAAATAGTTTTCTAATGCTTATTTATATTAAATTATATAAAAACAACTTGTCTTGTAACTTAGCAATTCCTTTAAAGTTTCAAATGAAAGATAAATACTTATTTTGAAAATAGAACTTAATGATTAATTGATTCAAGTATTTTGCAATAAAATGCTACAAAAAGCTGCCACCCAATTTACATTCCTAATTTTTGTATAAAAAACATATTTGGTTTTTATTATTTGAAAATAAAATGTTTTTTAATGAAACTTTGTTAAAAAGATTACTAAAAAAATTTCTTAAAATTTTTTTTAGTAAAAATGTTGTAAAAAAAGCCACAGATAAATTTCAGTATGAAACACTCATAAAAACTCAAGAGAACTGTTTTGAAGTTTTGACATAATATACCTAGGCTTAAAACTTTTTTATATAAAAGTAAATAAACTTTTTTTTTTTTTTTTTTTTCAATTTCTTATCAATTAAAAATTTTTATCATTAGGAAGAAAATGGTCGTTTAAATCTATTATCTCAGCAGTTAACTGCATTGCAGTTTGAAGCACAGGTACATTTTAAACTTCAAATTTTAAATTTAAACATATAGTTTGCTTAAAGGTTCAGATCTTGTTGGGTGTAAAGGTTAGTTGAAATTAAAGGTTGTGTTTTTTGTTCAAACAATTTTGCAAAGTTTTTGTTTATAGGCATCTGGCATCTGTAAATAGTTTTTGCTTAAACATCTCCATAATGTCATATTTTATTTAAAAAATGAAATCATTTAAACACATCCAAATTGTTCAAGTATGAAACCTGACATTACATTTAATATTGTAATAAAAACGTTTTTTATGAGTTATTCATTTGTTATAGGAAAAAAATTTAAAGAATGAAAAGTTGAATTCAAATATTATAGAAGTTACAAATCAGTTTCATGAAAAACTGTCTCTTTTAGAAGAAAAGATTTCCGAGGCTGCCAAGGTGAGAGTAAAATCTTTTAATAATAAGAAACTCAAACAATCTAAACTTAGGAACAAAAATTTATATATAGTTAACTAAACAAAAAAATACTCTAAACTGTTAAACAAAACAAAAAAATACTCAACCAATAATCAAACAAAACAAAAAATACTCAACCAATAGTCAAACAAAACAAAAAATACTCAACCAATATTCAATTTTTGAGTCTCTATTGTCAGTACATCTCTTTTGAAGAGCTTTTTAGAGCAATAACAACTTCAACAGCTCTTTTTACCCCTTGGCTGTCATAAGGGAAGTCTAAAATAGTTATTGATGGTAGCTAACTATTATCAACTATTATTAGCTGTTATCAAAACATTTTTAATGGTATATATCAAACACTTTCTCAAAAATCTGTATTTAACTTCTGTATGTGGCTGGCATTTGTTTTTTTATTGAAACATTTTTTAGAATTTTTTTGTATAGCATTCATTAACTTGTTCAATGTTTGTTAATATTATAGCTTTTTTACAAACAGATTACTCCAAGCTTGTTATTTTAGGGTGTGAACTGTCTTGTATAATTGGTATTGAGAAAAGATTTTTTGATGTTTTTCAAACAATATTTAATACACTCTCACAAAAGATGTCATTTTTCAAATTGCATAACTTTAAACATATTTTCTTAAGATGTAATTTTCAAGATGGAATTAAGATTTGCTATAATCCTAATTACTCTGTGATTTAGGACTTGTGGCTATCAGAATCAACTTTTCACATAACCTAATATAGTCAGAAGATTAAGATAATTTATGATTTTTCTGTGTTTCTTCAAAATATTTGTTAAGTTGCTTGGTCAATTAAAAAACTTTTTTGTGCATTTTTATTTTTTGGTTCATGTTAAATCTTATTCTAAATAAAAGTTATACTTTGAGTGTGGTTGAGTATCTAACTACAAAAATGTCATCTAACTACACAAATGTCATCTAACTACGCAAATGTCATCTAACTACACAAACGTCATCTAACTACACAAATATCATCTAACTACACAAATGTCATCTAACTACACAAGTGTCATCTAACTACACAAATGTCATGTACTTGAACTTTGTGTAGCCTACACAAAGATCTTGCAGTTGCATATATAGGACTTAAGCTTTAGGATTCAAAATTTTATTATTATTATCATTTCCTATTATTATTTTTATTTTTTTTTAAACATAATAAAAAAGATTATTCCAGTATTGCAGATTGTTATTCATTTTAACTAATATCAGGACCAATAATATCAGGACCACACCGCAGGGCCACGGGGCAATATCAGGACCAATAGCACCGCAGGGCCACGGGGCAATAAATTCTGGCTCTTTTTTAGAAATTTATTGGTCCTTTAGAAATTGATGATTATGCTCCACCAGTTTGAATCATTGGCCCCCTGAATATATAAAATCAATGCATTTTTCTTTTAATTTTTCTCAATCTACAAAAGTACTTAGCATTATTGTGTATCAAAAGTTTAAATATGGATTTTAATTTTTTAAAATTTAAAAAAAAAATTTTTTTTTGATTAAAAATCAAAAAAATAAAATTTTTTGATTTTAGAAATAGATATTTTATTTTGTCATAAAAATAAATGGTCTTTGACTTTTTTTTTTATTTTTTAAATAGGAAAAGATTTCGTTAAGTGAACAACTGATAAAAACTGAACAAAAGTTAAATGAGGAATCCTTGTTTAGAGAAGCAATGGAAAAATCTTTAAAAGAAGAATCTTTCCTCAGAGAAACATCAGAGAAAGCTCTCAAAGAAGAATCTTTGCTCAGAGAAAAGTATGAAAAGTCTTTCAAAGAAGAATCTTCGCTTAGAGAAGCATTAGATAAATCTCTTAAAGAAGAAGCATTGTTTAGAGAAGCATTAGATGAGTCTCTCAAAAAAGAATCCACAATGAGAGAAAATTTAGAAAAAGAAGTGGTAAGCTTTTTTAAAGATAATTTTACACAATACTTATGTCATTTAATTTTTATTTCTTCAGGCACAAGATAAGATATGTATACATGTCTTAATTTGTGTATACAGATAATATATATTATTGTTATATAACATTAACAACAGTTAAAAGTTTACACAATTTTGCAATTGTGTTATACTTTGTTGTATTTTTATTGTTATAATGAATTTATGTACAATTTTTTTTAATTGAGTTATTCATAAGCATTTCTTTTTTTAGGTAGAATTAAAAACCTCTTTAGAGGAGAAAGAAGAAAAATTAAAGGAAGCTATTGTAGCAATGTTAGTTTTTATTTTTAATGATTTTTTTTTGTTTTTAGTTTATTTATTAGGTTCATAGTCAATATATATATATATATATATATATATATATATATATATATATATATATATATATATATATATATATATATATATATATATATATATATATATATATATATATATATATATATATATATATATATATATATATATGCACACATGGTTTTATATTAGGGTTACAACCAAAAAAAACTTTTTAATTAGCACACCAGTATTTTTTTTAGTTATTAATTCACCTCTCCAAGGCCAAAAAGGTCACTAATGTTAAGGAGGCTACTTTAATTGTGGTATCAGTCCTCTCTTTAATATAATATAACTAATATATCAGCCCTCTCTCTAATATAACATTAGGGTGCCATTTCAACCCTTGAATATCAACTAGTTTCAATCATCAAAAAGTTCTTTAAAAAGAGTGGTTGAACTTTCTATTAAATACTAGATGAATAGTCAATTATATTTAATTTGAGCAAAGTGATTTAAACGAAGCAAGCCTTCCCAGGAAGCATATGCGGTTGTTTGCCTTATATGTCCACATTTAAAATAAATTTTATAGACACACTGACCCCAGCAGTTTGCATTTTTTAACTTTTAAAACATTTCAATAATTCACAACAAATAGCTTAACTTATCTACTGAGAAGAAAAAAAACTAAAAAAGAAAACAAAATTGTAACAAAATAAAATCTTTTAATTAAATAAATTTTAAAAATTTTATAATTAAAAAAAAAAAAAAATTTTCTAAAATCTTTATACAACTTTTGTATTTTTTTTTAAGGGTTGTTATTTTTAACTTCAGAATTTGATAAGTCAAAGAAAAAAACTAGTTTGCTATGTACTCTAGAACTATGAGAAACTTTGTTAATTTTTTTTTTCTTCTCGTTTTCTCGCCTTTTAGTTTTAAAAATGTTTTTGTTATACTTGACATTTTTTCTCAATACCTTTTTAAAAGGAATATCAGAAAATAATTTTCTATTTATTTGTAAAATATATTATTTGGTTAATAAATTTTGTAATGAAGAAAGAAATTAAATAAAATAATACCTAAAATTTATATTTTCCTAACAATAAAAACTCCTCAAAAAAGAAAACTTTCTTTTCTGTAGAAATTTTTGCATTAAAGATATAGGTGTTAAAATATGCTGCTTTTAACAAGAGTAAAAAAAAGATACTTCTTTAAAGTGTGAGTCAAAGCAAACTAAAGGAATGAAAAGCATTTTTGTTGAGCTATAAAAGAATTTTAAATGTTTATTATGCAAACTAAGTTTCCCTGTAAAACATTATTGGTTGGCAAGAACGTTGGCATAAAAAATCTTGGTAAAAAATTTTGTGCTACTGGAGGTCTCCCTAAGCGTAGTGAAGAAGTCTAAAGGGCCCATCACCTTTTCTAGGAAGAATTGTTTAAAACTGAAGTTTAAAATTGAATGTTTAAAACATTTAAAACTTTTATAAATGCACTAACTGTGTTAGATTATAATAATTTATCTAAAAATAACATTAGAAAACATATTTGATCAGAGTATTCAGTAAAATAGTAATAAAATAATATGCATGGTATGATACTTGTAAAACACACACTCACACAATTCGTCCACTTGAATCATCAAAAGTGCACAAGTAAGCTTGTGGCAAGTGCAACTTAAGTCTTAAAAGCAAGCCTCAGAAATTAATGACCTCAAAATCATTTGTTTTTAATTTTTATTGCCAACTATATTTTTAAATAATTCAAATTTAGCAAAATGTTTCTTTACTTTTTGTCTTCCATTAATCAAATGCGTAGTTAAATCAAGAAAAAATTGTAAAATATTGTAAATAGTCTTTCATAGATTAGGTTTCTTTTTTAAATGTATTTACAATACTTGATACTTGTCTTAAAATGTTTCCTTTACATTGCCCAATTTTCAATATTAAGAAGAATTACTAGAGATAATGAACATAATGATTGTTTTGTTTGAAAAAATGTATTTAAAAACTTAAAAAAATGTTTTAAATAGGCTCCAAAAATTTTTATTAATAAGTTCAGTAATATAACAATGCAGATTTTTGAGCTTCAATAACAAAAGTTCATCAGAAAATTAACTATCGGGTTTAAATGCACAATTTGGAGAATTTAACAACAAACTATTTCAATGGGTGTAGTGAAAACTTTTTGCATTTAAACAATTTAAATTAATGACTTTTTTTATTTTACATGAAAAACTTGTTAAAAAATAAAAAATATTTTACAATTAAATAGCGATTAGTTTTCTTGCTTCCCTGTGCATTGATAAAAACAGTAAAGTTTAGCAAAAACATTTGAAAAACAAATTTTAAAATTGTCTTTATTTATAGTGCAAATAATAAAGTATTTCCTAAATATGACTGAGTTAAGTCGCAAATAAATTGTATATCAAAAAATGTTTTTGTTTTCGTTATATTCTTATCTGCTCTCTTTCTCAACCTGTATTAGTTTTGGCAGCAGAAAATAACAAAAAAGTCCTAAAAAAAAAAAAAAAAACAGTAAAGTATTTAGGTATATTTTTTTTGAAAAAATTTTTCTTTTTTTAATTTTCATTTTTTTTAGTTTTTTGTTTATATATTCTATTTTGTATAGTATTCGTTTCCTTTTCTTCGAGTATTGCTGTTTTATTCTCTGTAGTTTCTTATATGTTTTGCTGCAAATTCTCAAAATGCTTACTATATAAAAATGTGGTCAAGTTGTCTAAAAAAATTACATAAACGTGGACAAAAACGGTGTGCAACCGCACACGCTTTCAGGGAAGGCTTGCAAAATGATTCCAGTCTTTTTTTGTTTTTATGTTATCTGCCTTCTTAAAGCCAAAGAGCCACTACAGTCAAGGAGGCTATTTTATTTTTATGGTTACAACCCTCTCTCAACATTAGAACTCACAAACCTTGGAGAACAAGGTTTCTGCGTGGAGAAACAAGTTGAGCACGGTACTTCCAGGGATATGGTGGGGATCAAACTCAGAACTTCTCCTTTACAAAGTGCTTTACCACTACACCACTGCCACATATAGCAGTTTCACTTGATGAACACGGTGATTCTATGATATATTTTAAGGTGATTCCACAATATGTTTTAAAGTGGTTTAGACAAGTTGGTTTGAACAAGATTAATCCATGATATAATTCTGGGTTGTTTTGAAGGTAATTCCACAATATGTTCCAACAAATTCTGCTCTATTAAAATATTGTTAAAATAGATAACAGATAATTGAAACATAAGAAAAAAATTGTTATATATATATATATATATATATATATATACACACACACAGTATTGGACAAAACATTTGCAACCAACATCGAACAATGCTAAAAAGTGTTCCTAATTTTACATGTCTTAAAAACGAAACGAACTATACTACCACAGCAAACAGTTCAGGAGTCTGGAGTCATAGCATGCCATGACATGAGCAATCAGCTGACAGGTGACAGCACACAGGCAGAATTTTGTTGACAAGTGCCATTTTTCCACGGACAAAACAAGTGCAACTTTTTTGTTTTTTTTCATTTTCTCAAGTCTGGTCCCTGTCAACGTCACTGAAGTTTTTTAATAACTAAAGGAAGTATCCAGAAGTTTCCAGAAGAAGCATCGGGAAGCATCCAGAAGTATCCAGAAACATTCAGAAGCATCTAGAATCTTCCAGAACAGGCTCACACAGGTTCATTTTACTATATAAGAGACATGTAAATCAACATGTAATTCAGTCAGTGTATGGAAGTCAATCAGTCAGTATTATCAAGGCAGTTTCTCGAAGTGAGTTTTATCAAAGTGTTTTTTTATCGAAGAACATCAATACAAGAAGTGAAATACAACAAGTGTTTCATTACATCAATACAGTCCACATCCAACCAAGAGGTTGTGTTCCACAGAGCATTATTGTATCATCATAAGGTATATATTGTATCATCATAAGGTAAATGTAACACGGTAAGCCTTAAGAAGTGTGATTATTTATTTTTTATTATTTTTATAACTTCAAGTGCAAAAATGGCTCCCGACAGTCTTGGATTGGAAGTAAGAAAGAAAAATATTGGCGATTACGTAAGTGGAATGTCACAAAAAAGTATTTATGATAAAAATCGCGTGAAAAAATGGACCGTATCAAGACTATGTTCCAAATATCGTTTTACAGGGAAGTTGGCAGCAGATAACAAAGGTGAAAGACCGCGTTCCACCACTTTAAGAGAGGATTCTATGATTGTCAGATCCGTCAAGAAAGATCCCTGGATATCATCAGTCGAGATACAAAAGCAATTAGAGCTGCCTGTCAGCAATGACCATCCTGTTAGCACTTTTTTGTGCGGTGATACCCCCTTGTTTCAGCGGACTTTAGCGAAAAATCAGAGTTTTTTTAACAGGCTAGAATAGCCCAATGATATATATATATATATATATATATATATATATATATATATATATATATATATATATATATATATATATATATATATATATATATATATATATATATATATTACACATACTTAGAGTTGCAAATAAAACATGTTTTTTTTGGTTTCTATGGTTGTTGTTTTTATTTTAGATTTTTTAAATTAAAAAAACTTTGTACATGTTATTTTGAAATTTATTATTATGTCACCAATTATTACAAAATTTTAAATTGTCTAAAAATTATTTTTTAAACAAAGTTACTGAACAAACTTTTCTAAACAGAATGTTTAGTAACGTCCGTTCAGTAACTCTGTTCAGTAATACTACCCAGAATAAATTCTTGTTGACTTCAAGTCATAGATTATTCTGCATCACATATTTGATTTTTGAGCCCTAAATTATGGGAAATAAAAACTAATTTTAATACTCTGTCATTTGATAATAAAGAGCCAAATTTACCCCGGTGGGCCTCTATGTCATGAGTGTGTGGAAAATGGTCTTCATGGCCTGTGAATTCCAGAAACCTTTTTTCAAATCAAAATTACAACAATTTATTTTTGAAATAACCAAGCGAAGTTCGCCTTTTGAAATTTTTTTTGCTCAGATAAAATTTTGTTCTTGATTATATTGTCTACTAGAATCAAGTCATCAATATTATTTTTTTGTTTGATTTATTCATGATCAACAAATTTTACAAGTTATTGAAAGAGAGCGGCCATCAGCCCACTCTGTAATGAAAATATAGTTCTTATATTTCAGATAAAGTTAAGACACTAAAAGCAAAGAAAGTTCATATTTAAAATTGTTAAAGTTTTTCAAGTCCATCGCATTTTGGGTAGAAGCATTCCATGGTTTGATAACACGATTAATAAGGAAGTTGTTTCTTTCTGCATAGTTTTTTACAAGTTGTTTTGTGTGTCGATGCAGTTGGAGACTGTACTTTAAAGACTTGGTGTTTGGTTGAAGCTGAAGGACTGAGAAGTGAACTTTGTCAATTTTTGCTGATAATTTTGTATTGCTTAATTAGATCTACTCTTTCTTGTTGTTTTGGTTAGCTTTGTTAAGTTATTTTGTCTCTAAATGTAAGGCAAGTATTTGAAGTTGGCAGTATGTTTTGCGGCTCGGTTTATGGTGGCTTGTACTGCAAGTTCTATATGTATGCGAATGTATGAAATATAAACAGATATATAAATATTGCCAGCTGATGCAAAAAGTTAAGAAACAAGTCTTTGTTTGTGTTTTAACCTTCAGATTATTAGTCATAACAACACCTAGGTCTCGTTTAAATGTTGTGCATGACAACTGATACAGCTAGCATGTCAAGTTATTCAAAGTGTAAATTGAAGTAATTTTTTTGTTATTACTGCACCCAGATGCATCATAAAACACAAGTTAATTTTTTTATCTTTAGTTTTTGGAGGTTCCTAATTTTGTAAGGACCCCTATACTATGGCACATCAAGCTTTTGTCTAAACTCGGGCCTGTATTTAAAATCAAAATCTATTTTGCTCATAATTGTGGATTAAAGATTGTCTAATACGACAATAGTCATAGAACTATTGTCGTAGTAGAACTATTGTCATACAATTGTCGTGCTACAAAGCGATAAAATTTAACTAGCAGTATTGGACAGTGTTTAAGCATATAAACAACAAATTAATATGAATAACAATACAACAAGGTTGAAAATACCTATTACAGACAAACAAAATTGAATCTTCAAAATCTACATTGTAGCTGTTCATTAATTATGTCAACAATTTTTTGATAATTTTTACACCTCCCTCCATCCCGCTTGTTACAATTTGTCAAAATTCCAAAGCCCGCTTCTCCCTTCCACTATTAAATTACATCAACATTTAAATACTCTTCTTCCCCTTTCCCCTCCCTAACCTCATTAAGTAAATTAAATTTTTAATAATTTGATTTATTTCATAAAGTAACATTGTTGGTGTCAACTTTTCTTGCCTTACCTCTTTCCCCTTGTCAACAATTGTTGAAAAAATTCAGACTTCTTCCCCCTATTTTTTTGAAATAACTAACGGACATACCTTAACTATGTTTTAAATTTAATACAGTAGTATTATAATAGAGTAACTTTACAAAACACAATTTTTCTTATAGTTTGTTGTATTTTATTTAACATTGATATGTAAAAGGTTAGAGCTAATATATAGGGTAACACACATTATATTAAACAAAAAAGCATGTATATTTTTTGTTTAGCTTTTCATGTATAGTTTATTTGAAATGTAACTGTTTCAAAGTTCATTAACATATAAAATTCAAAGAGAACGAAAAAATACCAAAAAAAACACATAAAACTTTTTTTGCAAAAAAAATTGCGTTTGTTTTTTTTTGAGTCGCAACTTTACACATACTAATAAAAGGTGTCACTTAAATTTTATGTGTGTGTATATATATATATATACAAATAGTATTGCGTACTAAGATAAGCAATCTGACGTCATACTGAAATGGCCTGCTGCTGGGGGCTTCAGTACATACATCGACTGACAAATAGCCTGTCTCGCAGTGGAGTGCTACTACATCGACTGAGGGTTTGGTTGGGTTTAATTCATCATTCTTCGTTTTTTTTCTTCTTTATTTTTTTTTTCTTCTTTATTTTTCTTCTTATATATATATATATATATATATATATATATATATATATATATATATATATATATATATATATATATATATATACATGTATATATATATATATATATATATATATATATATATATATATATATATATATATATATATATATATATATATATATATATATATATATATAACATATATATATAACATATATATATATATATATATATATATATATATATATATATATATATATATATATATATATATATATATATATATATATATGTATGTATATATATATATATATATGTTAATGTATATATATATGATTGCCTATATATTTTTAATTTTGTAGAAAGCATAATGAAGTGCGTTTATACGATTTAAATGATTCATTAATACTTAAAGAAAATGAAATCACTAAGGTAAATTTTTTTTTTTTTTTTTTAATTTAAGTCATGTTTAAATAAGAAAATCACATTACAGAAACTTTCCAAAACTACTAAGAGGTAATTAAATTAAAAAAAAAAAGATTTAAATTAAAAAAAAAAACATTAAATGTTGTTGATTTTATTTAAAAAATGATTAAGTTTAGGGGAGAGTGTGTATAGACTTGTCAGCCGTCAGTAAATAGAACATATGGCTGGCTCGCTAATACAAGTGGCTGGATAGCCAGCTAGCCGGTTGTAAACCTAGTGGTGGCTGACTAATAAAAAATAAAGCTGGCTAGCCGGCTGAATATAAATTAAATACCATGTATTATTTGAAACTATTATAATTATTCAATTTATATGACAACTCTAATTAATTTACAATAAACCAATGTTATCATGTATAAAAATAATCATGTTCATATTAGTTGGATCTAGTAAACTTCTTCGAGAATTGGCAATTAATCCAGCAGTGGAAAACGTGCATTCCACTTCTACACTGCTTGATGGAATGCATAAATATTCACTTGCCAGACATGCCAGATGGGGAAACTTTTTATGATTATTTTTCCAAAACTCTATAGGGTCTTTTTCTTCTTCTTCTGTTGGTAGACAATTAATATAATTATTGACTTCCCTGGCTAAACTTTGATGTCCGTTTTGATCGTAATTCAGAAGCGCAGCTATAATTTCTTGAAGCAGCAATTTCTTTGCAGTAGGATAATTTTCTACAACATAAATCAGCAAAGTAACGTAAATCAGCCGTGCAAATAGTTCAATACAAACATTGCATATACTTTTAAAATTTTAATATTAAAATTTTAAAACTATATGCAACCAGCTATAGTATAGAACTTTACTTATAGTACTATAATTAAACATATCATACAACTTACTAAACTATTTTTTTTATCATTTATAATTTTTATTTTATTTATATCATACTTTATTTATTTCTAGCTTACCATCTTTCAATAGTTTATTGTCATTGTTATGAGTTACATTGTTGACTGCTGCATGTGAATTTAAACTTTCTGTAAAACTTGATAAAGTCTCTAATAGTATATTAATTGCTTCATTATTTGGGAAGATAGACTTAACTGCTGGATCTAACAGACATGATAATTTAGCCGTTTGTGACAGTTTTAGGCGCTGTTCTAATTTTAAGCCACAAGCCATTTTTAACTTTTTTATCACAGGTAAATCATCAATATAAACCTTTAAAAGCGATGCAATTTTATGTTTGATCAATGGCAGAATAGAGAGAGAGTTCCCCCCACTCACAACTTCTGTCAAATTTTGAAAAGGTTTCATGAACTTAACAAGTTCCCTTAGCAATTGTAGCTCAAACTCGTTGAGACACAGTTCTCTTTTGCCAGTTTTTTTTAAAAGTTTTTTTACACCATTATAAAGCTGATCAATAGACTCTATCATAAATAGTGCACTGTTCCACTGAATACATACTTGGAGTTTTAAACTTTTATGCTGTTTAGATTTATACCTTGAATTTTCTACAAATAAATCTTTTTCTTGACATTCATCTTCACTATCTGAAATGATAGGATTGTCATTTGGGCTTGCTTGATTTGCTTGAATTGGGAATTGTTCATCAAGGTTAACAAGTTCTTTCACTTCTGCAATTTTTCTTAATTTATCATAAAGATCTACATCATCATTTGCACACAAAAAGTCATTAATAAGAGAAGTTGATTTGAAGCTCAAACATGTTACACTGTTTCAACATTTCTTAAGCAATATTAAGACTTCAGGACATTTGTTGAGACCATCAGAAACCAATAGTAAGTTCAGCACATGAGCTAAGCAATGTTGAGGTTCTTCACAACCCAGTAGTCTAGAAGTCTTCATCATGTTTGCAGCACCATCATGAACATTATGCAAACGTAACTCCTCACACTGTTTGCTAAACATATCTTTAATAACATCCTTTATAAAATCTGCAATATTTTCTGCAGTGTGGTTTTCCAGCGGTGCACAAGCTAAAGTAAAAACTTTTCTATCCCATTAACTTGTTATTACTGAACACTTTACACCAATAAATGATAATCTTTTGTATTTATCTGTCCAGCCATCAAACAGTAAAGAAGCAGCATTTGAGTATTTCAAAACATTCTTTACACTGGTCTTGACGGCTTTGAACATATCAATTAAAGCTCCGCATGTCAATAATGAACGTGATAGAGTGACTATACCAAAGTTTTTTTCAAAAAATTTTACAAAACCGGTTCTTTCTACAAGATTCAGCGACAACAAATCGGTACAAAACCAAAGTGCAATGTCACGAGTAATATCAAACTTTACTTTTGACGCAGACCCACTTGCGCTGCACCAATTTCTTAATATATTGTTATTTTTTTCTTCGGTAGAGATTTTATCAGTGACAATTTTGTGCACTAAAAACAAATGATTTTTCATGTTTCCTCTAGAAGTTGAACGTTTTACTGAATGAATTTTAGACAAGTGCGAAGGCTTGTTATTATCCAATTTGACTTTTTCAATTTCCAAACATGGTTTGCAATAATAATTATTCTTATCTAAATTTTGACCATCTTCATTTATTAATTCTCCATAATAACTCCAAACAAGCAATGCACATTTTTTTTTAAAGGTGCTGCACAACTTAATCTTTAAATATTTGAAAGATAAACTTTCATTTGCTTCACAACAATATAAGATTGTATTATCTATTGATCTTTTCATATTACAACTCTATATAAACAAGAAGAAATATACCCTGAAGATTTTTCTGGAAAGCAAGCAGGTTGTCTCGTATGCGAAGGCAAATGCTATCAAATAACAAATCGAGCCAAACAAGAGCGCGAAAAAGTATGAAGAAAATCGTTTCAGAATTAAACATGCCTGATTATAGTATTAAAATAAACAAAACTATTTTACACAAATCATATTTTCAATAAAAAGAATGAAATCTTTTAATTTCTTTAGAAAAACAAGGGTAAGCCGTATTTTAAACCGTATTTTTAGCAGTGGTTAGATTTGAATTAAAGTAGCGGCTAATCGTGGCTATTAGTAAACAACTGGCGGTTACTGGCTGTTAACAAAATTGGCGGCGGCGGATGAATAGTGGCGGCGGCTACCAAGTCTAAGTGTGTATGAAAGAGCCAGTTTTAAAAAGGTATGAAAAAAAGTCAATTTTAATTAATCAAAAAAAAAAAAACTTTTCTTCAATTAAGTAGTTAATTAAGTAGTTAAATCTGTTACGTTATTGGGTAATATTATAAAATTAAAATAAATTGGGCAACAATGCTAATAATCTATTATACACCTGTTTTTAAAAAAGAGAGAAATCAGCTCTTTTATAACATCTTGTCAATGAAAGAGCCACTCTGTGCTATGAATGAGCCGTAACATTTTTTCTAAAACTAACAAGTCTTTTAAGAGCAATAATCTATTAACTAGACTTCTAAAAATCAGATTGTACTTTAAGTTATATAATTTTATGATAATCAATGATAAAACAAATGATAAAACAGCATAATAGTTTCACTATATTATTAAAAAAATGTGTTGCTTGTGAAGATATGTTTTTGTAAAAAACATATCTTCACAAGCAACACATTTTACAAGTATTAACACATTTTACAAGTATTAACATTTTACAAGTAAAAACATATCTTCACAAGTATTAACTACGACATTTTGTAAAAATGTCGTAGTTAATACTTGTGAAGATATGTTTTTTTTTTTTAAAGATAAAAAATATTAAATGAGAATGAAAAAAACAAAAGTATTAAAATGCTCTAGTCAAACGTTTATAAAAAAAAATTTATATACACTAGTCAAAAGAACACATTGTTTTGACTACATCTTGACAATAAATGTTATCTATGAATCGTAGTGATTATAAGGCATTTCACATATATTAACTATGCTAGTGATATATGAGTAAATACAATAATACAAAATAGGTTTTGACCAGGGTGGAATTAAGCCTTTTTAACAAACCCACATCAGTGCCCCCTTCTGCCGGGGCCCCTGATTTTTCACTGACTGTGACCACTGGTATGTTCAATATTATGCAAAGAAAACAGTTGTTAACAAATATGTTTGTAGTTGAAACCGGCTCATAGCTTAATTTTTAAGCGTTCAAGATTGTACCAAACTGGAATGTGAATTTTTATTATAATGTATTTCTTTATTTTCATAGCACTTGTTCAATTTTCAGTTGTTTTGTTCAATTTTCAGTTGACTTAAATTTGTTTAAAAAAAATATTTCTTGAGGACTTGTGGTGCCCCCAAACGCTTGGTGCCCAAGGCAAATGCCTTGTTTGCCTAATGGTTAATCCAGGCCTGGTTTTGATAAAATGTGTGGAAGTTTGAAACAAAAATAGTATCTAATTATTAAAAAAAGAATTATTTCAGCTTTAGTAAAAACTTTATTATTATTTGAATATATTTTTTAAGATTCAAATATGCCTGCGTTTTACAATTTCAGGAAAAGTCATTCAAACAATTAATTTCAATAGAATATGATCAACGAAGCATTACAAAAAACAATGAAGTTGTTAATGCACAAAACAGTTATTTAATTTTAAAAAAATAATAAATAGAAAAGGCCAGCTTTTTCATAGCATAAAAAAGTGGTTCTTTCAAAAAATTGTATGGTAAAAAAAATAACCTGAAATTAAACATTTTTTACCTAAACTTTAATCTAATATTATTTGTGGAAAAGAAGGACACATATATATATATATATATATATAACAATGGAGCATATATGTTTTATCAAATAATAAAACATTCTTTATCTTAAAAAGAAATAAGTAAACCCCAAAAAAATTACTTTTTGTTTTTAAAATTTTTAGTGCACCCTTACGACGCTATTTATTTTAGTAGAACTCTAAATTTTTTGTGGGTGACAGGTATCCAGCATTGCCACACAAAAAGTAAAATACAATTATGGTTGGGTACCAGTAAGTGAGATATAATAGCATCGGCGCTTTCAAAACCTGGCCCTTTCATACACACTCTCCTCAATTAAACACAAAAATATTGACTTAATTTGAAAATTTGACTGACTATATTATAGCCCTATACAGAACAAGACACTGATTGTTTAATTTTGCCTCTTGTATATAGTTCATAATGTTATATATAGTTATATAAAATTGTTAGGTTATATGTTTAATTCATCATGTTTTTTTTTTAATTGTTTTTCAAAATTAAATGATATTTTTTAAATCTCCATAACAAAGATATGGAATGAAAAACAACAGCTAGAAAAAGATATCTTGAAAAAAGAAAGCAGTTTATTGATGGTCATAGATGAAGGAAAAGTTGCATTAGAGAAGGTTATTATTTTAGTTTGTTAATTGAAAAAAAAATTTATTACTTAATTCATGTTTATCCTAAAGAACAATAGTTTTGTAATGCATTGTTGGCTTATGTATTAGCAGTCTTTTAATTATGTGTCCTTTAATTATGCATAATTTAATTAGTCATCCTTTAATTATGCATTTAAAAAGCTTAGAGTGCACTTTAATTCATTTTGTAGTTTTCAAACTGTGATGTTTTAATTTATTATTATTCTACTTTTGATAACGAGTTTACAATCGACTGGTATTTATTTGTAAATATGAAAATATTTCTATTAGATAATTATATTAGTAAATGAATATAAACTAATAATAGATGCAACTCTGAATAGATGTTTATTACTTAATCACTACACAAGTTATGTCTACACATTAGCATTAATGTTTTTTCTTTCATTCTGAGGCCTTCCGTTGTTATAAGCATACTTTTTATTTTGTAATCTATTTTTTGTTTTATAAGTTTTTTGTTTGGTGATGTATTTGTTGTATATTTTTGTTCATATTAGTGTTTATAAAACAATTTATTTTATTTTTTATATATTATTATTGTTAAATAATGTTATAGGTGCATTGTCTGTCTTATTTATTTTTAAATATTCCTCTATTAATCTTTATTTTTGTCTTGACAACTGTCAAAATATGCATTGTTCAAAAAATAATTCTCCTTTATTCTAATGTACTTTATTTCTTCCCTCAGGCGTTCACTGCTCGTGTGTGACCATTTGGCAAATTTTATATGCCAAAGTTTTTAAATATTAGATAGTTATATTAATAAATAAATATAAACTATATATAACTCATGAATAGTGTGAAATTCTACTTCTTTAGAATCTATTTACTTTTCCGAAGATAGAAGTTTTTTGCACAAATATTTATTTACTGTGCAGTTAGTGAGTTTTATACTATTACTGTTCTAAACAAAGTTTATACTTCTTGACAGATTTCAAATTTCATAGTTTAGTATATTAAATCCTGCTTTTTTGACACTTGATGTGTCAAAAAAGGAAAACCATTTGCCATCAAATACACTATGGTACAGCATATTTAGACTCTAAAAATGTGACATTGTGCGCAAAGCACAAATTTAAAGATTGAATTACTATGTCAAGACTGTTAAAAAACTGTGACATAGTGCGCAAAGCACAAATTTAAAGATTGAATTACTATGTCAAGACTGTTAAAAAACTGTAAGAAAGAAGTCCTTTGAAGTACATGGTTGCGCAAAATGGTGCATGTCTATCCCCAAATAATATGATTAATAACTAAGAAGTTAGATTTGCTTGTTTTGGTCAATTGGTTAATAAGTTTTATAGATCCAAGTTGATATCTGCTCAAAAGCTGATACTGCCCAAGATCAGTTTGAAAACTTAATAAAATCTTTTGTAACAGTAAATAAGGAAGTGTTTATTTAAATAAAGCACTGTCTCAATATGTGTGATATTTAGATTAGCTTATTCTCAATATGTGTGATATTTAGATGAAAATAAAAGGAAGTTTCTAATGCAGAAAAGAGAATAGTCTTCTCTGAAGAAATTGTTTGCGAAAAAATGCGAAAAAGATAAAGAAAGATGTTCAATCTTATATTGTTACCCTAATTGAAGAAATAGAAAATTTTTGTTGAATCTGATTCCATGGGTTTGTTTGTTAAAGCCCATGTTTTTAGCCAAAAAATTAAAGAAAATCAATCAAAAAAAATCAATTCAAAGCAGAACAGCTAGATAATGATTTAAAAATTTAGAAAAAGATTTAAAAATCATGTAAGTTAATTTAAACTTTAGGACATTTTTATCTTGAAAGAAGTCTTATTTTTATCACAGTAAATTAGTTGGACATTTTTTTGTACATAATTTTGTTTAAAATTTTTAACTGCATCACTTTAACCAATCAAACAGAAAATTGATATCAATTGTTCTTGCACAAAAGCTTTTATTAAATAAAGTTAATAGTTATTTGTTATTAAAAAAACTGTAAAGTGTAAAATTAAATAATGTTAGCCATTATGTGCTATTTCATGTGCATACAGCTGTTATGTATTTTTTCATAAATTTTCCAAATAAAGGTTCATTGTTTATTATTTATTTTTGTAAAGCTTTGAACATATTATTGGAATAAATGTTTTTTTGTTTCTTACATTATATTTAAAAGCATTTTTTTTTTCTTAATCTGTACAATAAAATTTCTTTTTTAGCGATAGAAAAACTTTTACTTTTTTTAGCGATAGAAAAACTTTTACTTTTTTTAGCGATAGAAAAACTTTTACTTTTTTTAGTGATAGGGTAAAATACTTTTATTTTTTTAGTGATAGGGTAAAACACTTTTATTTTTTTTTAATGATAGGGTAAAAAATACTTTTATATTTTACTATAGGGTAAAACGCTTTTACTTTTTTTTTACAGTTGTATCTCTAAATGAGAAATTTTTAAAAAATGAGAAAAATGTTGAAAGAAGACTTATTATATTTGAATATATTTGCATGTTTTGTAATATAAGTAAGTTTAGTCATAAATTATAAAATAAAATAATAAAATAACTCATAAAATTATAACATAAATTATAAAATGAATTAATAGTCAGTGCTCAATTTCTCCACATTCACCCTTAGGTACTTCTGATCACGGTTTGATCTCTCTAAAACTATTATCAAATTCTTCTACTTCATCAGAATCCCCCTATCATCGTACCACATACAACTACCTTAAAGCTGACTGGGACTCTTTCCGTGATTTTCTTCGTGATGGCCCTTGGGTAGAAATCTTTCGTCTTCCTGCTGACAAATGTGCTTCTTACATAACTTCGTGGATTCAGGCTGGCATGGAATCTTTTATTCCCTCTCGACGATTCCAGGTCAAGCCTCACTCTTCTCCTTGGTTTTCCTCACATTGCGCTGCAGCAATTTCTAATCGAAACCGTTACTTCCATATCTATCAGCAAAACAATTCTCCAGAAAACAGACATCTGTTCACTATCGCCAGAAACCATTGTAAATAGGTTTTGTCTGACGCCAAAGCTCGCTATTCCCAGGTCATTAAATCTCGTATCTCATCACAAAAATTAGGCTCTCGAGACTTCTGGAGAATCTTTAACAGTATCAATAATAAGGGCAAATCTGTTATTCCTTCTCTCTTGTATGGTTCAGACTTTGTCACCTCACCTAAAGACAAAGCTGAATTGTTTGCTAAGAACTTTTCATCAATATCATCTCTTGATTCCACTAGTTGCGTTTTACCTGACATAGCCGTCAAACAGGTTGATCCCTTGCTTGACATTCGCATCACTTCAGCTTCTGTATCTAAAGTAATTTCCTGCTTAGACTCTTCAACAGCTTGTGGTCCTGACAACATTCCTGTTGTAGTTTTGCAGAGGTGTTCTCCGGAGCTTTCATCCATACTTTCTAAACTATTTAACAAGTGCTTATCAGAGTCTTGTTTTCCATCATGCTGGAAAGCAGCATCTGTTATCCCTATTTTCAAAAATTCCGGAGAGCGATCTGATTCATCTAACTACCGTCCCATTAGTCTTCTTCCTGTCATAAGCAAGGTTTTTGAATCTTTAATCAACAAACACTTAATCTCTCATCTTGAATCAAATAACTTACTTTCTGATCATCAATATGGATTTCGGTCTTCTCGTTCTACAGCTGATGTGCTAACAGTAATAACCGATAGGTTTTACCGTGCATTAGATAGAGGTGGAGAGGTTAAGGCTATCGCACTTGACATTTCTAAAGCTTTTGATAAAGTTTGGCATGCTGGTCTTCTCCATAAGCTTTCTTCTTATGGTGTAGCTGGTAACGTCTTTAAGATTATTGAGTCCTTTCTTTCCAATCGTAGTATAAAAGTTGTCCTCGATGGACAACACTCTTCTTCACATCCTGTAACTTCAGGGGTTCCTCAAGGTTCAATCCTTGGCCCTATACTCTTTTTAATTTACATTAACGATCTTCCAGATATTCTCACATCTAAGGTGGCATTATTCGCTGACGACACTACCATTTACTCTTGTCATGATAAGAAGCCTACACTCTCTGATTGCTTGGAGGGGGTATCTGAGCTTGAAAAGGATCTCACTTCTGCTACAGCATGGGGCTCACAGTGGCTGGTGAACTTTAATTCAGATAAAACTCAATTTTATTCGGCCAATCGTTATCGTAATAATTTAGGTCTTCCTATATTTATGAATGGTAATGTACTAGATGAGTCATCTACCATTCATCTTCTAGGATTAACTCTTACTTCTGATCTTTCTTTTAAACCGTATATCAAATCCATTGCAAAATTAGCATCTGCTAAGGTTGCATCTCTTTATCGAGCTCGACACTTTCTTACTCCAGATTCTATTCTCTATCTCTATAAATCTCAAATCCGTCCCTGTATGGAATACTGTTGCCACATCTGGGGCGGATCTTCTAATGATGCTCTTTCTCTTTTAGACAAGGTGCAAAAACGAATTGTAAACATAGTTGGACCTGCTCTTGCAGCCAATCTCCAACCTTTGTCACATCGTCGTAATGTTGCTTCTCTTTCTCTTTTCTACAAATACTATAATGGGCACTGCTCTAAAGAGCTAGCGTCCCTTGTGCCATCTACTAAAATTCACTCTCGTGTTACTCGCCATTCAATTAAGTCTCATCCTTTTTCTGTGACTGTTCCTAAGTGCTTCAAAAACTCTTATTCTTCTAGTTTTTTTCCTCGAACATCAGTTCTTTGGAATTCGCTTCCTTCATCTTGCTTTCCTGATTCATATAATTTGCAATCTTTTAAGTCATCAGTCAATCGTTATCTTGCTCTACAGATTTAGTCTTTTCTCTTCCAGTAACTTCCAACTCTTATAGTGGTTGCTTGCAGCCTTGTTGGAAGTGAAGATGTTAAAAAAAAAAAAAAAAAAAAAAAAAAAAAAAAAAAAAAAATAATTTATGTTAGTCATTGCAGTTATTCATATAAGTAAATATGGTTATAAAATATTTAAAAGTAAACTGTAGGAGCACTAGTTGTGCAACAGCAATTTTATTTTTTGTTATTTTGTCTTTTTTTTTTTTTTTTTATTTTTTTTATATTAAAAATTTTTCAAACTTTTTCCAGTCGTCTTTTTTTAAGTTTTTTGAATCTGCACATAAAGTATTATTTTTATGAAAAAACTGAAGTATAAAAATCGATTTTATATATATATATATATATATATATATATATATATATATATATATATATATATATATATATATATATATATATATATATATATATATATATATATATATATATTTACAAAGATAAAAGCCCCATTTGCTTTTGTTATTGAATGGAGTACACTTAAGATAGGTAAGATGTTTTAAATCATATAATTTTGAGTTTTAATATAAATTTAAAAAAAAGTTTGATCAAGTGTTTATATCATATGATATAAGTTTTGTAAAGTGTGTGTAGTCATATGATGGTATAAATAAAAATATTTTCTCTTTAGGTTGATACACCAGATGCTTTATGAATCATGAAGTCTTTATTTATGGTTAACTTATGAGGCAAGTTTTTGTGTGTCTATATGTAGCAGTGCATTTGAATGGCTTTAAGTTGAGCTAGCTTGGAGGCTAAGCAGTTTTTCTATCAAAGCTGAAGCCAACAGCATACTGAGTCATTCAGTTATGAAAACCAGCATAATTTAAATTGTTATAAATTTTTTTGATTTCAGTATTTATATTAAAGATTGTACTAAAATGTAAATGAACAAAAATGCACAATTTTTATTTACTATTTGTTATTTATTTGTAATATTAATCTAGTCTTTGTCTTGAGATTGGAATCTGGATATATCAATAATTCTTTTAAGAAAAAGATAAACTGAAATAATTTTTGAAAATACCAAATAATAATAGTTTTAGTAAAAAATACTCAGTTACTAATAGTAACTGTTACTAGTGGCAACTGTTAAACTTATATAGTGCACAAGCATTTTTTTGACTTCAAGATTGGTATTTGCTTGTGTGCCATTTTATTTTGTTCTATGCTCATTTTTACAATGTTCTATGCTCATATTTACTGCATGTTTAACATGACTTAACAACCTGGAGTTGTCATAACAACCTGGAGTTGTCATAACAACCTGGAGTTGTCATAATCACTGGTGACCTAATTAAGATCCGCTGATTTTTTTTGTTTTTTTTTGTTTTTGTTTTTGTTTTTGTAAAGCAGATCAAAAAAAGTTAATATGCTAATAAAAAGTTTAATAAATAAAATTTACTTATATGAAAATAGCTAAAATAATAATTAATGTCAGAATTTTATTGATTAAAGAAAATTGTCACCTTTTTGTAAAGGATAGCAGTAGTTTCTTTCCATTGTAAAGGAAAACAGTATTTTAACATTTTTTTATACTAATGGTTGGTGGGCATTGGATATTTTTTTTATATAGACTTTTTTTTGTTTCCATATTAAAGGGAATAGAAAAAAAACAAAACAACACTTATTTTGCATTTTATAATCTTTTATAAATTTGGTACTCACTAATGTGTTTGCAGTTATGTATTTGTTGCACTAACTACTGTATAATTTTAGCACTTGTTTGTAGATTAACACTATTAGAGTTAGACCACTCTTAGTTTGGTGTAACATAAACATAAATTACAACAAGAAATTCTTATCTAGGAGGTGAAATCCCATAAAGAATCAAAAGAAGAAGCCTCACAAATTCAACTTACACTAAAAGAAGAAATTAAAAGTTGGGTAGAAAAATTTGTAGGTGGCTTTTTTTTTTTAATTAATACAATAATATATTATCCAGATATCTTTCTTTCTTTCTTTATTTTTTTATTAGATTATATATTAAATTTCATTTTAAATCAATTAGTTTTATTATTTTTAATTAAAAATAAAATAAATAATTAATATATAGTCAATTAAAGTTTAATGCTGTTTAGAAACAAGTCAGTGAAGATTCGCAGTCCAAAATTAAGAGCTTGGAGAAGATAGCTAATGATCTAAAGGGGGATGTTACTGGTCAGAATTTAAAATATTCACAACATTTAATGTTTAATTTAAATATGATTTTTTTATACTATTACTATTTCATATTTGTAATTTTTTTTTATTATGTTCAAAATTTCTTTTAGGCACAAAAATTGTTATATATATATATATAAATATAAACACATATATATATATATATATATATATATATATATATATATTTATAGTAGAAAATCATATTTTTAAACACGACAAATTTTTGAATTATTAAAATTCTTTTGTTAATAAAAAACATATTTTAAATACTATTACTCATCTTCAGTTTAAATTAATTGAAGTTTACTGATTTTTTTAATTATTAGTCTTATTAAAATATATATATAATATAAAGTATATAATATATATATATATATATATATATATATATATATATATATATATATATATATATATATATATATATATGTATATATATACTGGGGTTATTCTAGTAAAAAAAATTGGGCGGCAGTACCCCCAGTCTCAGAAGAAATATTGTTGAATATTGGCACTTTTTTGCCATGAAAAATGCATTAAAAAAAAAAAAAGGTCCTCAATTTTTGATTTAAATGCGATAGTGGTGTAGTCGTAGAGCGCTTGCTTCATAAGCGAGAGGTTTCGAGTTCGATCCCCACCACATCCCTGGTAGTACCTCGCTCGACTCGTTTCTCTGCGCAGCGGCCTTGTTTGTCAAGGTTCGTGTTTCGTATTTATAGAATTGAGAGAGGGTTATAACCACAAATAAGTAGCCTCCTCGTCTGTAGTGGCCTTCTCGGCCTTGAGGAGGTGAATTTAAAAAAATTTTGACGGCGTCTAAATATGGTTGACGCTGTCAAAAACAGTCGAGAATAGCCCCTGGTATATATATATATGTGTGTATATATTATATATATATATATATATTACTCTCCTTCTGTATATTTATTACTATCCTTATAGAAAGACTTATTTTTTATGTGTATATACTAGAATGAGGTATCAATTCATCCAAGAATATCGCTTTTTTTATTAAAATTATTGTAATTGAGAAAATACATTAAAATAGTAGTGGTTGTATTGATTTTAAAGTTAATTTTTGTAATTTTTATAGGAAAAGTAAGTATTACTTCAATTATAATATATTCTTTATTTGTATTTTGTATTTTATTTGTATATGCTCAATAGTAAAAGTGTTTTCTAAACCTTTTAAAGTGAGCCAAGGATGTCATTGTACAACAACAGAATGTAACATTATTTTGAAGCATCATAGAGAGGGTAAATCTTACTCATATATACAAAATATTCTTGGATGTTCAGCAAAGATAATTTCAAATGTCATAAATTATAAAGCAAAAATTGAAAAATGAGGTGGAAAATGTAAGAATACCGCACAAGAAGACCGAAGAATCGTTAGATATGTTAAAAGCAAACCATTTTCATTGGCTAAATAAGTCAAAGATAATCTTGAATTACAAGTGAGTGACACAACTATTTGTAGGCGTTTATGAGAGAACAGTTTATACAAACATAGTCCACAAAAGGTCTCATTGTTAACAAAAAACATACCGCTAAATGTTTGCAGTTCACAAACCAACATCTGAGTTGATCCATCAAAAAGTAGTGCAATGTATTATGGACCAATGAATTGAAAATTGTTCTTTATGGAGATACATTATCAAGACAATATGTAAGACGTCCAGCTAATGCAGAATTCCAGAAAAAATACACCATTAAGTCTGTGAAACATGATTCAAAGTCAACATGAGTCAAAGTCATGGTATGGGGCTTGCTTCTCATATAATGGTGTTAGCCCTATTTATAAGGTTAATGGTATCATGAACCAATATATATGTTGATATCCTCAATAATATTTATATTGACATCCTCAATAATATATATATCTATAATCCTCAATAATGCCATGCTGCCATTTGCTAATGAAGATAAAAGGGAAAATTTGCAAAAGGCAAAAGAATGACTTCAGGTCAATGGATCCACCCTATTAACGTGAAATCATTATTTTGCCTTTTGCAACTTTATGAAGTGACCTGCTCAGTCACTTGATCCATTAAAAACATTTTTTAGGGGGACATTAAAATAGCAGTTTCTGCTTCTAACCCAACTAATGCTCAGCAGTACCTTATACCCACAGAAAAATGGTAATTCCTATTTGACTCAATGTATTGACATTGCAAAGTCAATACTCAATGTATTGACATTGCAAAGTCAAAATAAGTATGATATAATAATATTTACCATTTTCATACAAAACCAAGGTTTTGTAATGAAAATGGTAAATATTATTATATCATACTTATTTTTAGCTTTTTAGCATTAAAAAAACAACTTTTTAATATTTAACACTAGAAAAAAAAAAATTTTATTTCCATTTTCAGATACTGCTACTATTTCAAAGACTGCAACCTTTATTTAACATTATTATTTTGTTTCTGAAATAAAATTTAAAACTGCTATTAATATGATTTTTTTTATTCTATTAGATTGATGTGTCAAAATAAATGTAATAAAATTTTTCATTAACTAGTAAAAAAAAATTGTTCAATAGTATTTAAAAAACTATCACGCTCTTAATTGTATATAGTGATGAACCCAGAGTATATTTAAAAATACCTTGTTTTTTTTTTTTTTTTTTTTATTTTTTTTAGCAACATAGGACAGGGGTATGTTTCCTCCCCATCATCTCCAGTTAAAACTGGCGCTGCAACAATGGTTTTTTAATACCACTTTAGTTTTGTTTACCTTATTTAGACTTATCTGAAGATAAGGAGTGGATTTAAAATAGCATATTGTTATAAAAGGCATATCTTTGAATACATAAGTTTAAATAAATATAAGTTATAAGTTTAAATAAATTTTCAAAACATAAGCGCTTAATAAGCTTATATATATAATAAGTTAATATTAAAATATTTAAAACTATTTTAATTTTGATTTTGATTTAATTATTTCCTTCATTTAACTTTTACTTAGAATAAATATTTTTTGCAGTTTTTTTTTTTTTTTTTTTTGCAGTACTTTAGTGTCTTTTGCACTAAAACAGAGAATTATTGCACTTCAGAATAATCTTTTCCTTATAAGACGAGTTTCCAGTTTTGAAACGCCCGGTAAATTAAAACAAATAAACTCCAAATTTTTTGCAATTATTTAAAAAATTAATATCTAAATCTGCTTTGCATAACTTTAATTGTAATTTTTCTAGTTTTCTAAAGTCACTTTTCAAAAATTGCTTGTACTTGTGTGCTATGTCATTTATTATATTTGAAAAAATAAAAAATTTTTCCACAATAGATCCCTTTCCTACCGACTAATTCATTCGTTGTCTATAAATTTGAATGCGCAGGCTGTAAATCCTGTTATATTGGCAAAACTACTTGCCATTTAAAGAAACGAATATTTGAGCACCAAAAAAGGGATAAAAACTCACACATTTATAAACATATTCATTCAAACTAGCAGTAAGCAACCCGTAATACGGGTTATTAGTAATTAAATAATTGCTTACAGTTAACAACAAAAAAGACTACGTTAACATCAGTTAAGTTCTTTTTAAAATCTGTTACAACACAGCAGGTACCATAAAAAGAAAGTCAAGTAAAGCCTTCCAATGCCTAAAAAAAGGAACGAAAAATAATTACAATTTTTAATTACAAAGTATTATTTGCATTTTATTGTTGGTAGAATGAAGATATAAAGACTTAAAATTGCTGTAATAGCCCAGTTCTATCAACACAAAACACATTAACAATACCGCATAGCATAAGATATTTGTAAGCACACATTACTATGTCTCTCCAAAATGATTAAAAAAGAAAAGGTTATATAAAGGCTAGACAACTTAACGTAGTAAATAATGTAATAACGTATAACACCACAAATTAAGATATTTTATCAACTAAAATACTTTAGCTAAAAAGATTTAATTGATTACAATATTGAACAATTTTATCATAAAATACCAAGCAGCTCATAAAATTTTTTATATACATGGTCATTATCAATTGTGGCATTAATAAAACTTATATAATTACTTTTTTTTAACTAAAAAGTAATTATATAAGTTTTATTGATGCTCCATGTACTAATTCTTATTTAACTCTTATCTAAGAGTAAACAAAATTATTTTTACCTTTATTATGTAAAGTTCCAGCTTCTCTTTAACTGTCAACTAATGATTAATAGAGTAAATTTCATATCATTAAATTTACAAAATTAAAACCATGTTTCAACAGTAAGCAAACTAATCAAATGATAACAAAGGCAACTAAAAAAAAAGAACATAATTATGTTTGAATTTATAAAAAACTTTAAAATCATTTAAATTTAAAACTATTTGATTTAAATTGTTTTAAAGTGTTTAAAACAAAATCAAATAAACACACATTAACATGGCTTGACACTGAATTCTGCCAAGTAAGTTTTCTGCTCGCCGAGCAGCATTTCTTATATTTCAACAACTTTTTTTTTAATTTTATTTTAGGTGCTCCTAGAAGTCCTCAAGGTCTTATCACAGAGCACCGTGGATAAGCATTTAATAGGAAGTTCACGCCTCCTTATTGATGTAAATAAATTTTATTTTTCTATAAAAGTTGTCTATCAAAAATAAAAATAAAAATTTATTTACATCAATGAATTGTAATTTAACAAAGAATCTAGACAACAATACATAATCTAAAAGTGTAAAAAATGAAGCAATATCACTCAATATATTTTACTCCAAAGTAATTCAAAAACCCTATTAAACCTATTAAATCTAATGAATATATTAAATAAAAAAAATATAGCAAACTTACTAAAATTAGTACCAGTTCTACTGCCTAAAAACTTTTATTATTAACCCTTCTAATAGTAATAAAAAAATAACAACAAAGTGATCTGAAGTTACTAAAAATCACTTCATCTATTTTTTTTGTTTAGGTTAATTGTCCAACTAAAAGTCTATAACTATAATACTGAGATAATGTAACATGATTTCTAATCAATGTAGCATGTTC